ATGATAGTTACTAAGCCTGAATGAAGGCCAAACATGATGGTGGGACAAGAGGGAAGTAAAAGGAAATAGAGGAAAGAACCAGGAGGCAAAGGACATTTATAGAGGCCTAAATACAGGCATGTACATGTGAGTGTGTGTGTGTGTGTGTGTGTGTGTAGAGAGAGAGAGAGGAATAGAACTATGTACTCATATCTATATGTTAACAATTAAGGTTGCAGGTGGACATTGGGCCTCAACTCAAGTACTCCCTTTACAAAAGATTTTAATTTTTTGGAAAATTCTCTAACATGAAACATGCTGCATACCTATGGAGTCAGATGGTTAAGTATCGTTTTAACAGCTTTGTCAATGCCCAATTGATACTATACAGTTTTCTCATTGAAAGTATACAATTCCTTGGTTTTAACATTTCCCCAGCTAGGCGCAAAACTCTCAACGTCAAATTTTGAACAATTTTCATAAGCTCTACCAGGAAGCCGATACCCTTTAGCCATCAGGCTCCCTAGCTCCCATCCTCCTCCACCCTACTGTTCTTAGGTGCTGTTGAGTTGATTCTGCCCCATAGGGACCCTGTGGAACAGAACAACATACTGTTCCTTCCGGTTCCATCCGTACACTTGTTCTTACTTTGGAGGAGACCATTGATGCAACTGGCATGTGACTCCGTCTCGTCAAAGGTCTTCCTCTTGCTCCTGTCCCTCTCTATTTCCAAGCATGATGTCCTTCGCCAAGACCAGTCTCTCCTGACAGCATGTCCAGAGTATGGGAGACAAAGTCTCACTATCCTTTCCCTTAAGGAGCAGTCTGGCTGTATTTCCGAGACAGATCTTTTCGTTCTTTTGGCAGTTCATGATACTTTAAATATTCTTCACCGGCCCCACAATTCAAATGCGTTCTGCTTCTCTGGGCTTCCTTAATCAATGTCCAAGTTTCACATGCATTAGAGATGATTGAAAAAAACATGACTTGGATGGGGTGCACCTTAGTTTTCAAAGTAGCATCCATCTTTTCAACACTCTAAAGCAGTGGTTCTCAACCTGTGGGTCTTGACCCCTTTGGGGGTCCAATGACCCTTTCACAGGGGTCGCCTATTTCCAATGTGGAAGGTCACGACAACATGAGGGATTGTATTCAAAGGTCGGGGCATTAGGAAGGTTGAGAACCACTGCTCTGAAGAGATCTTCTGCAGCAGATTTAACCAATACAATGTGTCGTTTGGTCTTGACTGCTGCTTCTATGAGCTCTGATTGTGGTTCCAAGCAAGATGAAATCCTTGACAACTTGAATGTTTTCTCTATGTATGATGGTGCTGCCTACTGGTCCAGTTGAGAGGGTTTGGGTTTTCTTTGCAGTGAGTCAAAAGTCATACTGAAGGCTGCACTCCTTGATCTTCATCAGAAAATGCTTCACGTCCTTCTCACTGTGAGCAAGCAAGGTTGTATCCTCTACATATTGCAGATTGTTAATAAGCCTTCCCCAGCCCCAGGCAACCACAATCTGTAGATTTAACATGTAAGATTTTTTTTTAATGACTTGACTCATCTAGCATGTAGTCTGTTGTATTTCACTTCCACTTTGTGTCTTGTTTTTAAGAGTTCTTTCGGGCTATAGTATGTGTCAGCATTCCATTCCTTTTTGTATGGTTGCATAATATTCAACTACAACACCCTTTTATATTCTTATCAGTATAAGGTTTCTCATTCTCCTGAGTTTGAATATCTCTCCTTATCCTTGCCAACAGTTGCTATTCTCTGATTTTTAGTTCTAGTCATCCTAGAAATTACAGTATGGTTAGCCTAGCCCAGCGGTTCTCAACCTGTGGGTCCCGACCCCTTTGGGGGTCAAAGGACCCTTTCACAGGGGTTGCCTGATTCATAACAGTAGTGAAATGACAGTTATGAAGTGGCAATGTGAATAATGTTATGGTTGGGGGGTCACCACAACATGAGGTTCTGTATTAAAGGGTCGCAGCATCAAGAAGGTTGAGAACCACTGGCCTAGCCTCTCAGAGAAGGTGTCGTTTCAGCACTTTTGATAGAGCTCAAGGGGTGTCTACTCATGTGCCATGGCCCATCTGTGAGATATATCATGTGTTCTGTAAAAAGGAACGTTATTAGGGAAGGTAGGGAATTAGATTCCCTCAGTCCCTGGAAATACTAAAATTTAAAAATGAAAAGAATATTACCAAATGATTTGTGCTACATGTTTACTTAAAATACAGAAATTCGAAAGCAGCTATTAAACTATTAAAATTTCATTGAAGCAGTCTCTGTACTAACTAGACACTTTGTGTGTGTGTGTGTG